TCTATCTATCTATCTATCTATCTATCTATCTATCTATCTATCTATCTGTACATACATACATATAATTTTTCCCCTCCAACTACCCTAATACTGACAAAGGTCTCATGAGTTACAAATATCATCTTTCCATTCAGGAATGTAAACAGTTTAACCTTAATAAGTCTCTTATGATTTCTCTTTCCTGTTTACCTCTTCATGTTCCACTTGAGTCTTGTATTGGAAAGTCAAATTTTCTATTCAGCTCTGGTCTTTTCATCAAGAATACTTGAAAGTCCTCTGTTTCACTGAATGACCATTTTTTCCCCTGAAGAATTATACTCAGTTTTGCTGGATAGGTGATTCTTGGTTGTAATCCTATTTCCTTTGCCCTCCGGAATATTGTATTCCATGCCCTGTGGTCCCTTAATGTAGAAGCAGCTAAATCTTGTGTTATCCTGATTGTGTTTCCACAATACTTGAATTGTTTCTTTCTGGATGCTTGTAATATTTTCTTCTTGACCTGGGAACTCTGAAATTTGGCTACAATATTCCTAGGAGTTTTCCTTTGGGGATCTCTTTCAGGAGGAGATCGGTGGATTCTTTCAATTTCTATTTTGCCCTCTGATTCAAAAATATCAGGGCAGTTTTCCTTGATAATTTCTTGAAAGATGATGTCTAGGCTCTTTTTTTGATCATGACTTTCAGATAGTCCAATAATTTTTAAATTCTCTCTCCTGGATCTATTTTCCAGGTCAGTTGTTTTTCCAATGAGATATTTCACATTATTTTCTACTTTTTCATTCTTTTGGATTTGTTTTACAGTGTCTTGATTTCTCATAAAGTCACTAGCTTCCAATTGCTCTATTCTAATTTTTAAGGAAGTATTTTCTTCAGTAATCTTTTGGACTTCCTTTTCCATTTGGCCAATTTTGCTCTTTAGCGCATTCTTCTCTTCATTGGCTTTTTTGACCTCTTTTGCCATTTGGGTTAGGCTATTTTTTAAGGTGTTATTTTCTTCAGTATTTTTTTGGGTCTTCTTTAGTAAGTTGTTAACTTGCTTTTCATGATTTTCTTGCATCACTCTCATTTCTCTTCCCAGTTTTTCCTCTACTTCTCTTACTTGCTTCTCAAAATCCCTTTTGAGCTCTTCCAAGGCCTGGGACTAATTCACATTTTTCTTGGAAGTTTTGGATGTAGGAGCTTTGACTTTGTTTTCTTCTTCTGGTTGTATGTTTTGATCTTCTTTGTCACCAAAGTAAGATAATATAGTCTGACTCTTTTTGCGCTGCTTGCTCATGATCCCAACCAATTACTTGAGTTTTAAACTCTTTGTTAAAGTAAAAGTCTGTTTCCAATGTGGAGAATGTACTGTCCCAAGCTTTGGGGGTTAGTACAGCTGTTTTCAGAGATACTTCTAGGGACCTGAAAAGTGTCAGTTCTTCCAAGGTGCTATGATAAGGGGCGAGGTGTTTCCTCTCCACTGCCACAACAAGCTCCACTGTGCCAGCACTCCTCCTTGCCCCAGGACCGCCCCTCAGAACTGTGACCCAGATCCAAGCACGGGCAAAGCAAGAGATTCCTGCCTCAGCCCTGGCAAAGAGATCCTTGCAATCCCCCTCTGATCAGCCACTCGATTCCCCTTCAGTCTGTGGGCCAGAAGCTCAGAAGCCAGCCGCTGCCCTCGGGGCGGCTGAGATCAAGCTTCTTCTCTAGCAGTAACAGACTTTTCCCACTAACCTTATAAATTGTCTTTGGCATTCATGGGTTGAAAAGTCTGGAAACCGCCACAGCTGCCTGCTATTCAGTCCTCTGAGGCCTGCTCCAGGGTTTTGCCAAACTTCGCTCCTCTCCCAGCCCAGTGTGATATACCTTTCTGATCAGCCATCCAGGTTGTCTTGGGCTGGAAATTTGTTTTACTCTGTTTTTTTGTGAGTTCTGCTGCTTTAGAATTTGTTTAGAGACATTTTTTGTAGATATTTCGAGGAGTTTGGGGGAGAGCTTTAGCAAGTCACTGCTTTCTCTCCTCCATCTTGGCTCCACCCTCTCAAACAGCCTATAAATATTTTTGTACATGTGGGTCCTTTTCCCATTTGTATGATCTTTTTGGGATACAGACCTAAAAGTGCTATTGTTGGATCAAAGGGTATGCACATTTTTATAGCCCTTTGGGCATAGTTCCAAATTGCTCTCCAAAATGGAAAAATGGTTGGATCATTTCACAACTCCACCAACAATGCATTAGGGTTCCAATTTTCCCACATCTTCTCCAACATTTACCATTTTTCTATTTTGTCATGTTGGCCAATCTGATAGGTATGATGTGATACCTCAGAGTTGTTTTGCTTTGCATTGCTCAAATCAATAGTGATTTAGAGCATTTTTTCATATGACTGTAGGTGGCTTTGAGGACAAATTTAAACTTAGTCCTCCTGACTCCAGGGCTAGTGCTCTATCCACTCTGCCACCTAGCTGCCCCACTGTGAACTTCATTTGTAACATTTCTCTTGGAGTTGTCTCACAACAGACTGTTTTTTAAAGTTAAATATTAAACCAGTAAAAATATTAAGTGCCATCCTTTGTATTAAAAAGTATAAAGAACCTAAAAAGAAAGACTCTCTTAGTTGAGTTACTGGAAGAGTTACCTCTGAGGGTAGACATTTTTAATATCCTTATACACATAAACTGACCTGCTTCTCTCTGTCTTTCTGTCTCTGTCTCTGTCTCTCTCTGTCTCACACACACACACAATCACACAATCATACACACATTTCTCTTTTTGCTGGAGCAAAATGCTTCCTCATATGTTTTGTAGATGTTGTCCTTATGGATTGGCCTTTTCAAAGAGCCAAATGTAATGTATTGAATAATGAGTGCAAAACCAGGGCTTTCCAGTATATAGTAATATCTCCTGCTGTTGCTCATGTTCAGACTTAAATCACCTTGTAATTTGCTCTTTAGTTGTGTAGCACTCAGGGTCTCTTTCATATCAGGCCCCCCCGCCCCGAGCCTGGATCCTCCAGTTTTAAGGTAGCTCATGAGGCATAATTCACTCAAAATCAGATCCTGCAAGTCCCCACTGATATGTTGTTGTTGTTTTTTAACTAGAACAACCAGACAGAATTTAAAGCAAAATATATTTAATTGAACAATCCTGCAAAATAAATAACAAGAAAGATTTTACATCCTCCTCCAACCATACAGGGGCATACTTTCCCACAGGTTACTACACCAGCAGTAGGAGAGGGGGCATATTCAGGGA